CCCCCTGGCAGCCAGGACAGGCCAGCTGGACATCCGATGCAGCGAGGCCTGCAGGAAGCGCCTCGGGAAAACTCTCCGAGCTTTGAGCAGCAAAGGCTGGCGATGCTCCGTCCACGGCGACAGAGATGATGTTCCTCATGAAGCTTCTCTTTGCTGTATGTAAAACAGACCAGCTGCTGGATGGTGATAAACTTAGTGGCAACCAAGGTCTGGCTTCTGCTGAAGCTTTGAGCTAGGTCAAGCCTTTTCAGAGGTGGCTTTGTTGCTGAGTGTGCAGTCAGATGACGCCTTCGGGGTGCTGAAGCTGGGTGACCGCTGGGAAGTAACAGCTCCCATGACATTTTCCATCTCTGCTTCTCTTCTAGCCTGGATCCCTGCTGTTACCGCTTCAAGATAATGAACAAAGGACGACGCACCCATCAGCTCTGTTGGACAACGGAAGGTTTTGCCCCGTTTCGCCAGCGTGATCATCTCCCTGCCATCAGTAACACCAAGGGCAAAGATTCCTCCCAGAACCCCAAACCTGCCTGCCCCGTGTTTAAGCTTCAGCCGACGAGGATGGAGCTGATGCCGGGCAAGACAATGGAGATGGTGCTGGAAGGCTCCTCCAGCACTCCCCAGGTGAGGTTCCCCACGAAGGGCTGAGCCTTTCCCATCCGATCACTTGCACCGGGACTTCTTCTGCAGCCCCTTGACATTTGCCTGACAAAATGAGCAAGTGCTTTCAAGACACTGTTTGAATGCCACAAGTTACCATGGCAGCACCAGTTGCTCTCCTTGCTAGCCACCATCAGTTGCTAAGGCTTTTTCATGTTGCCATAGCTACCGTAAACCCAACTTGCTGCTACCAAAATATGGGCTGAAGGAAATATTGCTACTTCAGGGGCAAACAGCAGTTTACGAGGTGTCGTGCTGAGGCAGAAAGGAATGGCAGAGAACATAAGTTCCCCTCTACTCTTCCCTAGTGAGGCCCCATCTGGAGTACTGCGTCCAGTTCTGGGCTCCCCAGTTCAAAAAAGAGGAGGAGCTACTGGAGAGACTCCAGTGGAGGGCTACGAGGATGAGGAGGGGACTGGAGCATCTCTCCTACGAGGAGAGGCTGAAGGAGCTGGGCTTGTTCAGCCTGGAGAAGAGAAGGCTGCGAGGGGACCTTGAGTATCTGCAGGGTGGGTGTCAGGAGAACGGGGCCAGACTCTTTCCAGTGGTGCCCAGCGACAGGACAAGGGGCAACGGGCAGAGGA